AGTATTCTAAAGGAGGGTAATGGGAATGAATTGGGAAGCATTGTATTTTAGATTTAATCAACTATAAAGCATTTTTTATGAATAATTTCGATCGATTAACATTGTAAGATATTTTACACCGATAATATATAAAAATTAAAATCTAAAATATAAGCTTTTTATTTTCATTTAACAAAATTTAATATAAAGTGTTTGAAAATTTTATTTTTAATTTAAATATTATTAACTTCTAAATAAAAGAAAAAAATATTCTTTCAACAATTTTCATTTTAAATTTACAAAACAGTTCATTCTTTATAAGAATGCTTATTTTCAAGTGTGTCATTCGTCATTTATATCAAAACAAAACTAGTTTGTTATTTAAAAATGAAAACTTAAGTACTAAAGTATAATAGAGCATGAAAGTCATTATTTTAACCATAGTCATTCAATACAATCAAACTCTGGTAAATATTCAACCTCACAATTGAGTTTCTTAAATATATTCTATTGGATTCTTAGTTCATTACCAATTTATCTGAAACTTGCGTGAAAAAAATTTAAAATTTAAGGTTTGATTGTGGATCACTTGTTAACTATCTATAAAATGAAAAAATAAATTTAGATTTGATAAAACAAAAAAAAATGAAAAAAAAAATTAAGAACCTAAAACTCTACATATAGGATAATGAAATAAATATTTTCTGAGATTTCAACTTTTTAATATTATATTTTCAACTAAGTGCTAAAAGAATATTAATAATAAATAAAATTTACACTAAAATGCAATTATTATTTGAAAGAAATGAATATCACATTCATAAATGTTAGTGTTTTTTTTTTTAAATTAGTGGAAAATTTTTCACACGAGTTTCGACGTAGGTCGCAGAATTGTCATTAGTTTAATTTAAAAATTTAAATAGAAAATATTTAAATTTAATTTTAAAAAAGGAAAAAAAATCCAAAAATAAATATATAAGTTATTTAAATCAATCATTATTTAGAAAAAATTTAAACAACAATTTAGTAAAAAAAATTGTGCAAAATAGATAACAAAAATAATTGTGTTCATATGAGACTCGTATGTTACTCGTGCATTCGCACGGATACCGGTGTGTTACCACTACAAAATAACTTGTGTTTTGCTACGTGAAAGCCACATCGCTAACACCCAAATCACGCCACTATTCAACTTTTGTCACCTTAAAAAACACGTCGTTGTATAGCGCGTGGCAATTTGTTGCGGCGTGAAAAGCATGTCACAACGTTGCCACGTGAAATTCACGCCGCAAAAGACTTTATAGGATGAAAGTAGTTCAGAGCAGAGCAGAGCAGATCGGTTTATATTTATCTTTACGTTTGCTGTTACGGCGTGTTTTTCACGTCACTAATTAGTGACATGAAAAACACGCCGCAACTTGTTTTTTTTTATAAAAAAAATATTTTGTGTTTTAAATATATTAATTCTATTATAATAATTAATATTATTTTTTGTTTTATTAAATTTATAAATTAAATATTATAATTTATTTATTAAATACAATATTATAAATAACATACAACTTGATATCTTGGACTATGACAAAACTTACATTCCTCTGACGATCCATCTTGAGTACCAAACTCATTGTCATAAAAAAACATACAATCATTAATACAACAATCAATCTTTCTTACTCTTAAACCCAACTTCGACACCAACTTCTTTGCATCATAGAAACTCGCAGGCAAGTTGTCTTTCGTTGCAGTTGAGTCCAACATCATTTTTGCGAAATGCTCCAAACACTGATCAGGAACATTCCAATTTGACTTGGAGGTCAATAATCTCACACACATTGATAGCTTTGAGTCTGACGACCCCTCAAACAACGACGTATTCATCTCATTCAACAACTGATAAAATCTCTGCGCTTCCTCATTCAGCAACTCTTCCTCGTCAAAGTCTTCAGGTTGATCATAAGTCACGTTAACACCAAAAGCATCACCAACCATGTCACCTATCAGATTAAAGTTTTCTTCAAATTCCATAGGTGGTTGCATAACCGGTTGACTACTTGAAGCATCTGTGTTGCTAGTCTCTGGTACATTACTCGGCAGTGTTTCACCATGATACGTCCAAACCCAATAATTTTCAATGAAACCTTTCCTATGCAAATGACGTGTTATTTCATCTGGGTCACTAATTATATATCTACATCCACATTTAAGACAAGGACACCTAACTCCTCCTTCACTTCGACAACGTTCCTGAGCAAACGTTCACGCGATAAAACCATTAACTTCGTCTATAAAATTGGGTTTAAGTGCGCGTCTTCCTGGATATAGTCTATCGTACATCCAACTACGATAATACCTATAATATTCCATTTATTGCAAATTTATATAATCAAAACCTATTTAATTAGAAATATTAATTAATCAACTTAATAATAATCCTAAACATATACAATTAAAGATAAATATATGCTTTCAAAAATATTTATAAACTCCTAAAAATATTTATTTATTTTTAAACACTTAAAATTTAATTTAAACACCTAAATTTTATAAACTCCTAAAAATTTAAAAACTTATTAAACTCCTAAAAATTTAATTTAAACACTTAAAATTTATAAACTCCTAAAAATATTTATTTATTTTTAAACACTTAAAATTTAATTTAAACACCTAAATTTTATAAACTCCTAAAAATTTAAAAACTTAAACTCCTAAAAATTTAATTTAAACACTTAAAATTTATAAACTCCTAAAAATATTTATTTATTTTTAAACACTTAAAATTTAATTTAAACACCTAAATTTTATAAACTCCTAAAAATTTAAAAACTTATTAAACTCCTAAAAATTTAATTTAAACACTTAAAATTTATAAACTCCTAAAAATATTTATTTAATTTTAAACACTTAAAATTTAATTTAAACACCTAAATTTTATAAACTCCTAAAAATTTAAAAATTTAAACTCCTAAAATAATTAAACTCATTCATCACAAATTAATAATTAATAATTATTATAAACTAAATAGTTAAACCTAAAATTGAACCCAAATACAGAAAATATAACCCAAATTCAACCTAAAATTTTAACCCAATGCAAATTCAACCTAAAAATTAATCAAATTCAGAAAATATACTAAATTCAAAAAAAAAAATTCAAGAAATACCTTTTATCTTGTAACTCCTTCAATCTTCTTGTCCCTTTTTGCAATCTATACTTCTATCAATATTCTTCTTCTATTCAAAGAAAAATTGAAAAAAAATTATATTCAATAACACATAAAAAGCTGTTAACAAAGTATAAATACTATTGAATTGAAATTACCTTACAACAATAATGTATGGAGATTGTAGGAATTTAATTGTGGAGAAGAACAAATTTTGGAGAAGAAAATGGTTATGGAGGAATATGGAAGGAGGAGGTTGAAGAAGAAGTTTAAACAAACTATTAACGCTACTGTGTTTGTGGAGCATTTTGATAAAGTATATAAAGCATGTAGCGACGTGAAAATCACGCCGCAACGTTGCCACGTGATTTTCACGTCGCAACAATCCAACAACTCTTTTTTATTTCTTCAAAATCTGAACACGCCAGTGTTGAAAGTTGTGATTGAATTATTTTTTATGATATTTTTATTAGCGACGTGCAGCCCACGTCGCAACTTTTTTTAAAATAAAAAAAAAACTGACAAACTTAATGCTTCTTTATTATATTAGTAAAACATGTTGCCACGTGATTTTCACGTCGCAACTGGCTTTATTTAGCCACATAAAAATCACGTGGCAAAATCACGTGGCTGGAGAACCTTTATCTTGTAGTGTACGCACGATTTTATTTTTAAAATATAATTAAAATGTTAATAACAAAAACAATTTTTTTTTACCATAGTAATTTAAAACTTAAAAAAAAGACATATTTATAAAATTAAAACAAAGTTGTTTAATTTCTCAACTTTTAAAATAAAGACATCAAAATATATATATATATATATATATATATATATATATATATATATATATATATATATATATATATATATATATATATATATATATATATATATATATATATATATATATATATATATATATATATATATATATATATATATATTAGAATTATTCATATATTATATTAAAAATTATTATATTTTAAATAAAAAAGTTTTAAAAAAAATTAGATACATAAATATTTAAAAAATACAAATTTTACTCGTATTTGAATTGATACAGATTTTTCTTTGTAATAACTTGTGTGTTCACACGGATGTTGACATGATTACACGTGCATTCATACAGATTTGGTCTGATTATTCGTGTTTGAATTAATACATTATTTTAACTTTTATTTTTTTAATTATAAAAAAAACATAGTAACCCGTACGTTTGCACGGATTTAAATATGGTTATTTCGTACAGTCACACGGTACTGATGTATTACTCGTGCTTTCGCACTGGTACTAGTATCATACGCACGCTTTCGTTTTTAAAATATAATAAAAATATAAATAAAAAAACAAAACTATTTGATTGAAGTAGTTTATTATTTTAAAAGAGATAATAAATCAATTTCTATAATTTCTTAAGTATATAAAAATATATGAGAATTCATTTCAAAGATATATCACATAGGTTTACCGAAGGAATAAATTATACAAATAAAAAATAAAAATAAAAATTCTAAAAATAGTTTTTTGAAATTGTTAATCCAAAATATACTAATTCTCAGTTGGACCATGTAGCCGAGGTAAATACTAATAAAAATATATAAAAAATAAACAAAAATTAAAATATTTATAATGTAGACACATTATCATATCTATTATCAGTTGGACCATGTAGCCGAGACATGATTTGTCTAAAATCACCATCAAAAATACAAATTTTTGTAAAAAAAAGAGGCAATAAAACACATATTTAGACCTTATAAGAGATTTTAATTTTATTATTGTCATGCTTTAAGTATACTTATTATTGTTGCATATGACACCATTATAAAATGATAAATATTTATTTTATTAGCTTTAAGTATACTTTATACCAACACGAGACTCAGCAAACTGCCTTGCAATATCTACACAGAGAACATAATTTGCTGGAAGCAAGTGGACACCATCTGACATAAGGAAAAGAAGTGTATCAAACTCAGCCTCAGATGCTTCAATATGTCCAACAATGATGGAAAGTAGTGATTTAATTATACACCATCCTAGCTTGTGCAATCTTAAGATGCAATCCAAAATTAGTCAAGCCTTTGGACATTTTGTATAAACAAAGTGTCAGCTCATTCGTTCACGATGGTGGCAAATTTGCATAGCATAAACAAATCAGATATTCATGAAACCCTAAATCACATCTGGATCATGTTAATAACTACAATAATGCATGAAAATGAAGCCCTTTGTATCATATCTTGGCTATATGAGATTTAGGGCTGTAGTTACCATCCTCATGCTGATATTTTCCCAGATTGATATTTGTTATGAATTACAACTTCTCATTATACAAGTTTTAATGAGATTAAATACTAATTCTATACATACCATTAATCTTTCATGTCTACAACTCTTGTGTCAATTTACCATGTTATAAAAGTTTAAATTTACCATGTTATAACATATTGTATCAGCTCACATTATGTCTAATAGAGACATATTTACATTAGGGCACAACTACCACATAAGACAAACATGATGTGACATATATGGATTAATGAATTACTGGTGAAGAACCTTTCGTGGTCAAAAAGAATTAAAAAAATGTAAATGATACCTTTCTATCAAATAAAGAAAAAGATAGAACACAAGAAGTAGCACCAAAGTAAGAAATGAAATTTCAACCATAACCATAATGCCTCTTTTTCAGTTAATAGTAGTATCTGATAATTAAAAGCCAAACTCTTTTTCAGTTAACAAAATTTCATGACAGAACCATAATGTCTCATGTGCTTTGAGTTGCAGAAACAAATTAAACATTGGCAGTATCAGAATCTGATTCTTTTTATGCAAAATCTAGCAATGCTTATCTCAAGTAAGTAGGATATCATCTATGAATTAACTAATATTATGGCAGAAAGAAGGGTGATATTGATGTGTATTAGAAGCATGATAATTACTTCTTCCCAAACTACAACTCTTTCAACATCATTGACACAGTGCACCTCATCAAATATCATGACTTATTTATACAGAAAACAAGGCATGATGTTCGGGCAAATGCATATTCAGTAACTATTGTCTTTCTGGGGGATGTGTGAGCAGCCACAAAAATAGATTCCCTTTTCAAGATAATAATAGCCTGCATTCATCATATAATAAGGAAAGAAAATAAAATGTATACATCAAAAGATTCGAAATGACATCCAAAGATAATTCAATATGAATGATTTATCCTTGTAAATATTCCATTTAAAATGTGATGCACCCATTCACCATTAAAAGCACTCTTTCTAGACTTTGTGAATCATCCAAGCCTCCTGGATAAATCCTTGGCAGAAGTGTGTGGCAATGGTCCAAATTGATTCTACAGGTCCTGATGATAGATTAGATACACTCAATTATTGATTCTACAGGTTCCGATGATAGATCAAATACCAATGGTTGTTAGTGTTGACAAATAGTTCATTGATCAAGCAACCCCAACATCTAAACCAGCTGACAAAATATAAGTATGTCTATCCCACCAACCTTTGAACATAAGCATCTAAACCTTCATGCATACCACATCAGTCTTGACATAGATGAGTAGAAAAAATGCTAGATTAAAAATATATGAAGCTCTGAACAAAATATGCAATGAGAAAAGAGAAAAGGAACCATTAAAAGCATACATGATATTCATACTATTATGGTCGAAGGCGTTGATGTTCATATTTTCATTTGCCTGAAGTTCTGAATGGTTGTTTTCTGGTTGAACTACAATAGCCTCGGTTTTCGTAGTTATAGGAAAGGTTTTATAATTTTCCTCTCCATAATTTATGTTGGAATGAGATTCCTGGGATCCTGTCAAAACAATAACGTCTACTGTTAGAGGAACGGAAATATTAAACTTACTATCTCCTTATTTTACTTTGCTCATAACTGATGAAAACCCGAGATTATCCTGATAAATTAGAGAAACATTATCAGACCCTTCACGTGCCAACTTCTAAAAATATGACCGGATCTCCATCTTATTCTAGGATGTAGAAACAAGCACCTTCACCATTGAGACTAAAACAACAAACATCATAGCAAATGAATGACCGGCAGAAAATGCGGTACATGAACATGTACCTGTAAGCGTAAAAAGAAGCATGAGAAATCACCATAAATCATCCCTATTCGACTATTTCATGTGATAAACAATAAAAGGATTCATTAAAAATATATTAATATTATTAGTAACTATCTGAAAAAAATTATTGTTTCTATGTCAAGTTAGGAACAATTACCCCTGCACAATATTGTTAGTAACTATCTGGATTTTTTTTTTTTTGAATAATCATGTATTAAAATTTTTTTTTGTAAAAAACCACGTTTCGGAAAAAATTACGCAAATAATCATGTTTCAGATGACTCCCTAAAGGAGGAGCCATCTCACTTGGCGCCTACTCCCATTATTTAAGGGGAGGCGCCATCTCACTTGGCGCCTAGGTGCTTAGGGCATGCCCTAAGCCAAGTGAGATGACGCCTTAGTGCAATTCTAGGGCAAATTTCACTTTTTTTTCCAGTCCGGTGCGTTGCGTATTCGATACAGGATCAACAAAATTGAATTTTTATTAAAAAAAATGATTACACCCAAATGTATTACATTAAAAAAACAGATAAAAAAACCAGATAAATCAGTGATCCCCCGGAACCCGGTAATGACCCCCGGTTCCGTATCCCCGTCCTTGCCTTTCTCGTGCTGGGTGTCGTCGCGTTTCCTGCTGTGGCAGGGTCGATGGCCCAACGAAGTCAATGCGTTCCAGATCCATGAAATCAGTCAGATCTCCATATCTAGAAGATCCGCTTTGGTACAGTCGGTCACTCATACCCTCAAAGTTTGATCGTGTTGGTGGTGGGTGGGGTTCCATAGTGGGTCTGTAGCATTGATCGTCTGAGTATGCGGGGTAGAAAGGAAATGGATCTTGGGGTGTTTGGTATTGAGGATGTTGGATGGTTTGGTGATACTGTGGTTGATGGTAACTTGGGTCGGTTGGTTCGTAATCTTTCGACATTCCCAGATCAGGGCTAAGGCTGGATGTTGAGGGGCCCATATTGAGATATACAGAAGACTGAAATTGTGTGTGGGGTATGCGGGTGTGTTGGTATTGTGATTGGTATTGCGGTTGGGTGTGAGGCATATGGGGGTATTGGTACTGAGGTGTCGATTGTGGTTGGTTGTGGGACATTTGGGTGTAATTGTGTTGTGGTGGGAACTGTGGTTGAGTGTTTGTGGTTCTGTTTCGTCTGGAGGGTTGGTGGGAGGTTGATGTGTGTTGGGTTTGTTGTTGGGAAAACGAGGGTTGTGCCCATTGTGTTCGTGGGTCAACCAAATACCTTGGATGAGACATGTGCATTTCAAGGTTACTAACCGACCTGTACCAAGATAAATATTGATCCGTGTGTCGCATATTACCATGATTGAGGAAAACCAGGAATTGCAAGACATGTCGGTGACGCCTCTGCCACATCTTACACCATTCTGGAGCAAAGTCTTTCCAGTTGGTAAGACCCCACTGGGCGTCGACCCTTTTGAGATGCCACAGGGACAAACAAGTCGGATCACTTGGTATCTCTTGATGCATTCCGAACTGCATCTTCACACGGTCGCTATGGTGCATCTCCACAATATTGAACCGTATGATTGCAGTCTTGGCGCTCCAAATTGCTGCATCCTCGGGGTTTGGTTCATGGCCCAAACCCAAATATGGTCTCCAGACAAACTGCGAAAAAAATTAAATCAGGTTAATGATAACGTAATATATAAATAATTTAAATGAAGAAAAGTTGAAAGGTACGACGTACATCATCCGGGCCTAGGTGATCCAACAGATTGCGGTATAGCGCGACATTGAATCTTGGATTCTTGCCGTAATCCATACCCCTCACTCAATACCTAAAGGAAATGAAAAACATTTTATTTTTAGCATATATTTGGTGAAGAGATGAATAGTAATAAATGATATAACTTGATGACTTACTTTGTTGCGTACGGGAAAACGAAAGTGTTGTTGTTAACGGGGTTTAAGGACTCCATCCTCCACCAACCCCAGACTTGTAGTAAAAAAGTGCAGCCATAAAATATAAATTTTTCCTTGACTGCATTTTTGCACAAGGAACTGTATAGGTGGGCTAAAACTGCAGAACCCCGACTATACTTTCTTGTTTTTTCAAAATCTTTAAGTAAATGTAAATACATAAAATTTACACTATTTCCTGTACTTTCGGGAAATAAAAAGGTTCCAAATAGTATCATTAGATAAGTTCTGGCTTTTACTATCCTGTCTTGTGTTGGAAATCCACCAATACTTTATGATGAATTTCGACCACCACTGATGATTAGTTATGACAAACAAATAAAAGAACAATGGAGATATTTCTGCAGAATTTCTATTCTGCCCACAAACTGTGGAATCTTTATTATTCACTTTGCAACTGCAAAATACTGTGAATGACTTGATTACAAAATAGGGGTTACTCCCTCTATTTATAGATTTAGGTTAGCTTGCTCCCTAAGCTAAACCCAAGCCCAAAAATATCTCTTTACTAAATCAAATCTAATCTAGATTTAAATTCAAATCTATTTAAATCTAAACAAATCAAATCTTCTTTTGACACATATGAATTACAATTTAACACACCACCTAATTCATTGTGTCTAAACTGTCTATGTTCATCATGGCCCTTAGCTTTCTGAATACTTCGACCTGCACTCCCTTTGTCATGATGTCTGCAATCTGATTCTCAGTTCTACAGTGTTCCAAATTCATCTTCTCATCTGCTACCTGCTCTCGAAGATAATGGAATCTCATTTCGATGTGCTTACTTCGACCATGTGCTATTGGGTTCTTCGCCAGATTGATAGCTGACATACTGTCTATCTTCATGGTAATTGCTCCATGATTTTTCCCTGTTATTTCTTCGACCAAGTTCACCATCCAGGTTGCTTGACATGCACAAAGAGAAGCAGCTATGTATTCTGCTTCGCATGATGATAATGCTACTACTGGTTCTTTTCTCGAACTCCAAGCAATTGTTGCACCACCTAGCATAAATACATATCCTGCTGTTGACTTTCGATCTTCAGTATCACTACACCAACTCGAATCAGTGTATCCCACTAACTTGCATTCTTTTCCTTTATCAACTGCAGGAAACAAAATGCCATAATCGAAAGTTCCTTTAAGATACCTTAATATCCTCTTCACAACTGCTAGATGTGATACCTTTGGCTTCTGCATGAATCTACTTACCATACCTACGCTGTATGCTAAGTCAGGCCTTGTATGACAAAGGTATCTCAATGATCCAATAAGTCTTCTGTATTGGGTTGGATCAACATCATCTTCATCTGCATCTTTCGACAGTTGCAGTCTTGGTTCTGCAGGTGTCGAAGTTGCGTTGCATTCTTCCATCTCAAACCTCTTGAGAATTTCTCCTGCATATCTTCTTTGATGCATCATCAAACCTCTACTGCTCTTGTAGAATTTGATACCAAGGAAATATGAAATCTCACCCAAATCAGACATTTCGAATTCCTTGCTAAGATCAACTTTGAAGTCTTCGATCTCATTCTTGCAGCTACCTGTTATCAACAAATCATCTACATAGAGACATAGTATAAGCAATTTACTCTTGCTTCTTCTTACATATACTCCATGTTCAGTTATGCACTTCACAAATTCCTTCTCCCTTAGAAAACTATCAATTTTCTTATTCCAAGCCCTTGGAGCTTGTTTCAAACCATACAGGGCTTTATGTAGCCTGTACACCTTTCTTTCTTCGTCATGTTTCACAAACCCAACTGGTTGTTTAACATAGACTTCTTCATCTAAGGGTCCATTTAGGAATGCACACTTCACGTCCATCTGACATATGTGCCAACTGTTAATTTCTGCTAGACCAACAACCAACCTGATTGTTTCGATCCTAGCCACAGGTGCAAAAACTTCGTCGAAGTCTATTCCTTCTTTCTGTAGAAATCCTTTCGCCACAAGTCTTACTTTGTGTCGAGTTACTTCACCTTTCGAATTCGTCTTCACTTTGTATACCCACTTGACATCAATTGCCTTATTGCCTTGAGGCAATTCGACAAGTGACCAAGTGTTGTTGTCTTCGATAGACTTTACTTCTTCATTCATTGCTTTCACCCACTTCGAATCCTTTAATGCTTCAGCTGCATTAACAGGTTCGACATCTGCATAGAAAGCATAATGTACCAGCTCACCTTCATCATCTATCACATCATTTGATGTAATCACACAATCTTGCAATCTTGCAATCTTGCAGGCATGCGTCTTGTTCTTTGAGGTCTGCTTGTACTGGGTATACACTATGCCAGAAATAACCTACGAAAGTGCTTTTTTTGGGCTTTAAAAGCGCTTAAAAGCGCTCTCGTAGGTGGCGCTGCTAAAGGTTTTAGCAGCGCTTTTTGTTCAGAAAAAAGCGCTCTCGTAGGCCCACCTATGAAAGCGCTTTTTGGTAAAAAGCGCTTTCATAGGTAGGCCTACGAGAGCGCTTTTTTCTGAAAAAGCGCTTTCATAGGTGTATTCAGAATGCGTGTCAGGCAATCTAAAGTAGGCCTATAAGAGCGCTTTTTGTTCATAAAAAAGCGCTCTCGTAGGCCTACCTATGAAAGCGCTTTTAATCAAAAAGCGCTTTCATAGGTAGGCCTACGAGAGCGCTTTTTTCTTAAAAGCGCTTTCATAGGTTTTCTACTGAAAAATCTAAAATTTAAAAAATTTCTAAACCTGCATTTTTTTGCAGCAAACCTGTAATTCTTAAACCGGTATTTTACAATCTAATCTAGAAATACCAATATATATTAGTTTTAATCCAAATACCAAATGTAATTCAAATACCAAATATTATATATATATATATATATATATATATATATATATATATATATATATATATATATATACAAATACCATTATAATCAATTCATATCCAAAATATATATACACCATGGTAATTCAATATTAACATGTTTTTAAACGTAACAAAATACACCCTAAGAAATCAGCTATATAACACTAAGTAAATCAATCCTAATCTACATATATATCCAATGTCCTGATCC